AACCCCGCGGGAGCAGCAGCGGGGGTGGAGGGGACACCTGTTTATCACGTGCCGGTGCCAGGTCTTTTTGCTCCTGTTGTTGCTATGGCCTGAGCACCAGGATTTAAAAAATCTCAGGTGGTTCCAACATGCCGACAAATGTGAGAAACACTGTGACAGACAGAGCATGCGTTACTGCGATCGAGGGTAAAATCTGCACGGTGCACCCCAACGAAGGTCAAGAGCAGGCTGTCTCAACCCTGGGTGCACAGTACTGCCAGCTGGGGAGATTTTATTTTTTAAATTCTCCCCCGAGGATGTGTTTTTATTGATTTTAGAGAGAGGGGAAGGAGGAGGGGAGAGAGAGAGAGGAAATAAAAACATGGGTTGTCTCCTGCACTTGTCCTGACTGGGGATTGAAACTGTAACCCTGGTGTACGCCCTGACCAGGAATTGAATCTGCAACCTTTTGTTGTACAGGATGATGCTCTAACCAACTGAGCCACACTACCAGGGCCGGGGAGATTATTATTACTTTTTTAATCCTCACCTGAGGATACTTTTTCCCATTTATCTTCAGATAGAGTTTGGGGGAGAGAGAGAGAAACATCGACTTGAGAGAGACACATCGATTGGTTGCCTCCTGCATGACCCTGACCAGGGCTGGGGACCATACTGCAACGCAGGTACGTGCCCCTTGACTGGAATTGAACCCGTGACTCTTTGGTCCATGGGCTGACACTGTACTGCTGAGCCAAACTGGCCAGGGTGGGAGTTTTTTTGTTGTTGTTTTTATTTTGAAATGAGAACAGAGTTGCAAAGATCAGACAGACATTTCCTGAACACCTAGCACCCAGCTAGCTTCCCCTAGCATTAGCATCTTATACAACCATGGTGCGTGTATCAAAACGGAGAAATCAACATTGCTACAGTACTGTTAGCTGCACGGAAACCTTTACAGATTCCCCAGTTTTCCCATTAACTCCCCCCTGTTCCAGGAACCAGTCCAGAATTCCTAACTGTATTTAGTCATCATGTCTACTGAATCTCCTCCAATATGTGTCCATTTCTCAGCCTTTTCTTGTTTTCTCAAGACTTGGACACTTTTGAAGAGGACTAGTCCAGTATTTTCCAGAATGTCCCTTAACTTGGGCTTGTCTAATATTTCCTCATAATTAGACCAGGGGTCATGGATTTGGGGGAAGAATACAATTTGTCTCTTTCCATATTCATTTGAAGCAAGACCCTAATCCAGCCCCTACTGCGGGGGGGAGGAGGAGAGACGGTGGCAGGGGCTTCTATTCCCACCATTTCAATGAACTAATCCTTGCTTTTATTGGATAAGGCTGTAGTGAGCTAGACCTGCCCCAAATAACCCAACTAGCAAGTGGTGAAGCTGGAATTGGAACCCGCGACTGTCTGGCTCCGAAGGCCATGTTCTGCTTTTCATTTCATTTGAACACCAAGCTCCCCTCCCAGCTTGCCTAGACAGTGTTTTTCAAATTGTGACCCATTAAGGAGGCATGAGGTCAGTCTGTGGGTTGTATTTTATTTTATTTTATCCTCACCTGAGGACATTTTTTGCATTTATCTTCAGGTAGAGCGGGAGGGAGAGAGAGAGAGGAAGAGAGAGAGAGAAACATCAATGTGAGAGATACATATCGACTGGTTGCCATGTGGGTTGTATTTTAAATAACAAAATAAAGCCCTGGCCGTTTGGCATCAGCCTGTGGACCAATGAGTCACAGGTTCAATTCCGGTCAAGGGCACGTACCTCGGTTGTGGTTCATCCCTGGCCCTGGTTGGGGTCATGCAGGAGGCAACCAGTCGATGTGTCCCTCTCATGTCAATGTTTTTTTTTTCTCTCTCCCTCCTTCCCACTCTATCTGAAAATAAATAAGAAAAAAAAAAATCTTCAAGTGAGGATCGAAAAAAATAACAAAATAAAGCCGAGGAGACTATAACAGAACAGAAGAGAAAAGAGAACGAAGGTTGGGAAAAACTTTTGTTTCTGCGCACTCTCTGTGCTTAGAAACCTTCATCTTTACGACGGGAAGAGAAAGAGCACCCCATCCAGAGGGCTCAGTCGATAGAGGTAAAGTGCTTAGAACAGAGGCTGACACAAATTAGGCATTATGCAAATGTTATTATTATGAAGTATGCATATGCATAAATGGGTCATAATGTAAAATGTATTTCTTATTGCAGACTGCTATCAGAGAGTTTGAGAATACAGAACTCCCATCTCTGTGCTGGGCTTGGCAGGCCTATGGTCTCCGCCCACTGTCTGTTTTTACTGGGCCACCGCCACACCTGTTCATTACACATTACCTCTCTATGGCTATCTGGGCGCTCAAGGGCAGAGTTGGGTACTTGCAACTGAAACTGTGTGGCCTGCAAAACCTAAAATATTTACTCTCTGGCCCTCGAGACCAGTGCCCCTGCCTAGAGGTCATCTCATCATACAAAGGATATCAGACACTTCTTCCTGGGCCCAGTGGCTTTGTCCTGCCAGTGACCTGGCAGGTGCTCTGGCCCATGCAGACCACTCCAGGTGGTGTGACTGCCCAGCTCCTGGGTGTGCAGAAGCTCGATACCCTCCTACCTTGGACTGACGCCCACGCTTTATTTATCCACCTCCACGGCTGTTCGTGGTGGAAGGCTGGAAACATGGTGCATTGATCAGGGTCCCAGCAGAAAACAGATGGCCACTCAAATCAGATTAATTCAAAGAGTGTTTAATAAAGAGGCTATTTACAAAGGGAAAGGCAAGGTGTCGGAAAGACACAAGGGATAGCGAGTCCTCTGGGCCTGGTTAGAGAGAGCTCTTACTGCCCTTGGCAGGAGGGGCGAGGAGAGGGGGCAGTTCCTGAGCCTGGAAGGAGCCAGCCATTGAGAGAGGATGATTTAAGAGGAAGCCGAGGCACTCAGTCCGGGGCTGGAGAACCAGCTCCAGCTGAGCCCCAGGGAGCGAGCCGGAAATAAACGACTTGCTCTCACCTCCTGCCCTCCCTCGTCTCCTGTTGGGGCCCCTACTGGCCAAACAAATGAAGTCAGAGGACACAGGGTCCACTGATGGGGTCTGTGTGGGTCAGCTCACAGTCAGAGAGCAGGACGCAGAGGCTGGAAAGGGGGTGAGGGGCAGACCTCAGATTCCAGCACACACAACCCTGATATAGAAAGCCAGGTCTATTTACCCTCCCGCCTCTGCAGAGGAAGAATTCCCCGCGAAGCCTGATGCCAGGAATGTGACCCGAATAGCAAAGGACCGGACTACATCGCTTTTACCTCTTCCTGCCTTCTCTTCCTAGATCTGTTGGGCTCCAGATGGTTATCATGGGGTTGATCTTCCTGGATCTATCACTGTGACGGGGGTGAAGGTCATGAACAGAAGAGCAGAGGCACAGAGAAGCTGCTGGGTGTTTCTGGGAGTCTGGGCAGGGCCTGATTCACATGCGGAGATGATTAGCCAGGTTTCCTCTCACATCCTTATCCGGAAGAAGCTGTGTCCCATTCACCTCTGCAGCCCCACTCAGGTCTAACACACAGGTGAGCCAGCCTCTGGCCCCACGGGAGAAAGAACCAGAGTGGGAACGCCACCTGGGCTCATGAACGTTCTCACATGGAGCCCCCTCTCCCCTCCCACTAGCCCGGACTCCTTGACTGGCTTCTGGTATCTCATAGGCCCTCAATCCAGCCGCAAAGTGACACTGATCCTACACTGCAGAAATCACAGCTCACGGTCAGAAAGGGGCTGGCATGCTAATCGGTCTCCATCTTTCTCTCACATGAGACGGAAGCGGAAGTCCATCCTGGAGCCCTGGGAATGGACTTGGCAAACATTCTAAATGTGGTCTCGTCTTAGTCACATTTCCTCGTCAAGCTCAGCCACTGAGACCACACTCCTGGACCCTCAGCCCCACATGGGCAGGAGGAAGCCCAGGCTGGAGTCAGGCAAGTGAGTCCCAGGCCACACTCCCACCTATTCGTGGCCGTTTCACGTTAAACAGGTTAATTTTTATGTTAATGAAGCTCCATGTTCTAGTCCTGACAATTCGGAGCTATCATCCACCACTGAGTTGTATTAACTCCACCATCACACAAGCACGTATCCCACGGTGTCCAAAAATAAATGACACTTTGTTGTTTCTTTTTCTTCCAGTCGGAAGATCGGTGGGATACTTACAGCCGTTTGTACAAAAGGCCGGAGGCCAACTCATTTGACTGTAGCTGTTAGGCCTTTGCGGGCTAACCCCAAGAAATGGGGACGCCTGAGAGGCGGCCTCCTGATACACCAAGGATCAGATCTGTTCATGCACGCCAGGGTAATTAGCAAAATCTCAAGGTTCTCTCCCCTTCTCCCCTCCCCCCTCCACTTTCTTCAGAGAAAGAAGAGTTTAGACTTACAGTCCAAGTGCTCGGGTCTAAATCAGACAGTGTGGTCTGGCAGGAACCGAGTCACAGCTGTCCCGCCTCTGTGTTTAGTTCACTGCTGAACTCTCTGCGCGGCATGTGCCCACTGCTCAGGGCGACTGGAAAGACTCCCGTCTCGCCAGGACTGCGCGCACTATCTCCAGCCCGTCTTCGTAAGGGATGTGGCATCTGGACAATCCTACGGCCGGCCACGGTTGGCGGCTGCATCTGAGGAAGGTCCGCAAGCGGAGCAAAGCCCACCGCCTCCAGGAAGCCCAGGAGAAATATTCCAGGGGAAGGAGGTGCTCCAGAGCCGACTCCAGAAGAACCTCTACTGTTCCTGAGAAACACCAACGTGACTGTAGGCAGCCAGCCAATGAGAGTCCCTCTATGCAAATTTGAGGAGGGGCCAGCACTGGTTGACTTCACAGTCCCCTCCTGTGATCTAATAATGTCACTCCCCCTGAAAAAGCCCAGCCTGGCACCCACTCCCACACAGAGAAAAATTCACCGCAAGCAGAGCACCTTCCGGATTGCTCCTGGAGTGTGGGGACAGCTGCCTCTGCTGTCCACGTTACTGAATCCCGAAAAAAAATGATCTTATGAACATGGCAAAAGACATCCAGCTAAGGCCCAAGGTCAATGTCTCTTCTTACATCCACTTTTTACTGAATTACAGAAACAAGTTTAAGGAGCAGCAGCCACATACCTTCTTCGGCTTTAAGGAGTTCTCTAGAAAGTGTTCGGAAAAATGGAGGTCCATCTCAAAGCACGAAAAGTCCAAGTACGAAGCCCTGGCCAAGCTCGACAAAGCCCGGTACCAGGAAGAGATGCTGCATTACGTCGGCAGCAAGAGGAGGCGGAGAAAGCGGGACCCCCACGCACCCAGGCGGCCTCCCTCGTCCTTCCTGCTCTTCTGTCAGGACCACTACGCCGAGCTGAAGAGGGAGAACCCGGCCTGGTCGGTGGTGCAGGTGGCCAAGGCCTCGGGGAAGATGTGGTCGGCCAAACCGGACGCCGAGAAGCAGCTGTATGAGCAGAGAGCGGCCCTGCTGAGAGCGAAGTACCACGAGGAGCTGCAGGTCTACCGTGCGCAGCGTAGGGCCGGGAAGAAGGGTGTCCAGGAGTCGGCGAAGAACCCGTGCAGAGGGTGTGGGCAAGTGGAGTCCGTGGAAGCTGGTGGATCCAATGAGAAATAAAATCCCATTCAACCGTGCCGCCATCCCTGGTCTCCTGCGTGGCGTGAGAACGGCCCCGGCTGCTTGGGGGCAGGGGCTAGCGTGGAGATGAGATGGGGGTTTGGAAACTGCTCCTGGGGAGGGGCCGGCTTTGAGAGAACTGGCAACAGTGTCCAAAGGGATGTGTGGTCAGTACCGCAAGGCTTGGTTTGGGCCAGCGGGGTCGTCTCCAGGTAGAAAACAGCTCAACCTCCACCCTCTCATTTTCCGCTTCACTGAGAAGATGGAGAGCATCAGGCACGAGCGTTCCCAGTCTTCTTCTTCCTCAGAGTGTAACCCACACCCACCCTCTCCTGGTCTCACGGAGAGAGCTGTACCTGTCAGGCTGCCTCTTCCCCGGTCTCCCCCAGGCCCTGCTCCTCACTCTGAAGATGCTGACCCTTCCCCTCTAAGCTTGCCCAGGTCAGTTCGGCGTCATGATACAAGCCGCTCCTATCTGAACCTGCACAGGACTTGGGCACATTCTCATGCCTCCGTGTCTCAGGTGTTTCATCTCTGCAATACGACGATGCCCGCCTCACAGATTTAGTGATTAAATGACGTACCATATGCACAAGCATTTGCCATAGTCCTGAACACATAACAGGGACTGTGATGGACACCCTAGAGGGTGTCCTCTCCTGTGGCTCCCCTTCTCCACACCCCACTGTATAACCCCTTCCCATGAACTGTGCAAAGTAAGCGGCAAGGCTGGGGAAGCCCACGTGGCAAGGAACTATGGGAAGTCTCTAGGAGGTGAGGGTGGCCCCAGACCAACAGCCAGCAAAACGGAAGGTCTCGGTCCTGCAACCACAGTGACCACTCGAGTGGGGAAGTGGGTCCTTCCCCGCGGAGGCCCAGAGGAGGCCTTGGCCCAGGCTGGTATCTTCATTTCAGCCTTGAGACCTCGAGCAATGGACCCAGAGAGCCCAGGATTACTGGATTCTCGACCCCCAGAAACAGTGAGATCATGTGTGTTGTTTGAAGCCAATATGTTTGGGGTCATTTGCTACCTAGCAATAGATAACTAATACAAAGCTCATTAAATGCCAGCCTCCTTATACTTCCAGAGGAAACTGTCTTTAACACATCTCCCCCTCTGCCCCCCCCCCCACCTGTTTCCTTTCCTTTCCTCTGCCACCCACTGCCTGAGGTTAGAGGCGGCCGGGTGCTAACAGACCCCGACTGGCACTGCTTAGTAGTGGTCCCAGTTGTGTTGTCTTGTTCCCAACCTGAGCTGTGGATCTTGGTGGCGGCGGCTGTTACAGACACGCCTCTCTGGGAAGAGGGCTCACACAGCTGGGCCCCAGCCCTCCCGTGTCCCCTTTCTGGTTTCTTGTGTGATTATGTGAATGTGGGTGGCCAGGTCAGTTTGGACAACAGACTGCAGTGCCCCAGCTGAAAAATAACTCCATTAACATTTCTTTATGAAAAAGCCCACAAGAGCCCTGGCCAGTTTGGCTCAGCAGTTAGAGCGTCGGCCTGAGGTCCAGAGAGACCCGGGTTCGGTTCCCGCTAAGGGCACGTACTTTGGTTGCAGTTTGTCCCTGGCCCTGGTTGGTCGTGCGGGTGGCAGCCACTCGATGTGTCCCATTCACGTCGATGTTTCTCTCTCTCTCTCTCTCTCTCTCTCTCTCTCTCTCTCTCTCTCTTCCTCCTTCCCTCCCTCCTTCCCACTCTATCTGAACAGAAAATGGAAAAATGTCCTCAGGTGAGGATAAAAAAGAAAAAGCCCACAAGAGGGTGTGAATCTGCGGGCTTCTAATGAGTGTAATGTAAGGACCGTGAAGGGGGCAGCAAAGGGGGAGGAGAGGAAGGGGGGCCTACGCTTAAGATAATGGGTGACAGGGAAGGCGGGGGGGAAGTCCGGTGTGGTGCAGCATTCAGACCTGCTCGGCTGGGCTCAGGTGCCCTGCCCTTGGGAGGAGGAAGGCAGAGTTTGGGCCCATCACCCTCTTGTGGAAGACTGAATCACACCACTCTGATCCTTCTCACCTAGAGCCTTTTCCCGTGTTCCTTAATTCATTCATCTATTCATCTATTCAACAAATATTTATGTGAATCTTCGGTCTGCAATATACCAGGAACTGTTTTGGTGCTATGGATACAGCAAGGTCCCTGATCTCTGGCAATAAATAAGTCAACAAATAAACACACCAGACCACTTTTGGAAAGTGTCAAGTGTTCTGAGGAAATAAACCAGGGCAATGAGCTAGACAAGGGTAAGTGGGGTTGAGGGCACCTTACATGGGTGGTCAGAGATGACGTTGGGTTTGAATTTAGAGGACAAGAAGCAGCCAGGCATCTCAGAGTCTGAGGAAAGACAGCAAGTGCAAAGGTCCTGAGGCAGGAACAAGTTTGGCATATTAAAGGGACAGAAGGGAGGCCAGAGTGACTGGAGGTGTGAGATGAGGCTGGAGAGGGGCAGGCCTTGTCAAGGAGTTTGAAATCTAAGTGCGAAGGGGTGCCCCAGAGCATGAATAGCCATATGCTTCCATCTTGACTTCCGGTTACTGGTGATTCTCGAGTATTCAGTGACTATCAAATGCCAACCGGGGGATGCTAGTCCTTCCCAGGTGTGTGTGAGAGAGAGATGTGGCTAGCAAAGACCAAACCCCTGACGTGTTTCCCTGTCGGAGAGGAGACTCCTCTTGGTATTCCTTGGAGCAGGTGTAAGCTAAAATCCTCAATGGAACGTCTTCCCGTGATCCATTTTCCCAGGAATGAGAGGAAAGGTGCACGTGGCCGGCAGAATATTCCAGGGCAACATTTCTTCCTGAGTGTCCTATTTCCCTGTGGAATAGCTGCCACTGGACCTGCAGTTCTCAACTTTGACCCTGCACTGGCCTCCCCTCCGAGCTCAGTGAAGCAGACTGCAGGGCCCCACGCCTAGCTGGTTCCACTTTCCTGGGAGCTGCACCTCTACTCGGCATGTCACAAAGGCCCAGGTGGTCCTGAAGCTCCTGGTCCCCGGCCCACAGAGGATCTCTGCTCCTGCAGCCGGGGCCTTCACTCCGAAGAGGCGACCTGACTTGTCTGCTGGTGAGTTTGGAAGGAGGGACCATGTTCCTCTGTCTTCCCACCCGCCCCTCGCGGAAGCATGTGTTCGAGTCTGCCCTCCAATTGCTTCGTCCCTAGGAAAGGTGACAGGCTGATCCTCATCTGTCTCTCTCCTGTTCCTGCCAGCGGATTTGGGACTCGACAGGGAAAGGAGTATATTTATTTACTGGGGTTCCCTCAAATCCCAACAGGGAAGTTGATCCCAGCTGCAAACAATCAGTTCGTGTTGGTCGCACAACAACACTGGGAGCTGATTTCAGCCTCCACTAAAGGCTGGGGAGCAGGTACCTGCGTGGAGGCGGTGAGGTCCTCAGGGTGATGTCACAAAGGCACTGGCGCCCTTCGGTCCTGCCAGGCAGCTCTGATCACACTCCCACAACCCGTACCTGCTCCAGGAGTTGGGAGAATAAATGCCACGCCTGGACCGCACTGTAGATGAAGTGCCCTGTGAGTCGGGGCGCCTGCCCTGGATTGCAAGGATGGTTGAAAGAAGGAGAGAACACGCAAAAAGCAGCTGGAACAGAGAAAGAGCATGGCCAGAGCCCCGAGGGGCCCACTTGACGCCCAGACGGGCCTTGACCTCTGGGTCAGACCAGCAGTGACAAGAAGCGCAGTCTCGTGTGGCCATCCTCTGGTGACAATGTCCTTGCTGCAGCTCTCCTACTGGCCGCTCCCTCTCCGACCCCTTCTCTGCTCGGGCTGCTGAGTGACGTCTCAAGGCTCCTCCCCTTCACAGCGGAGCGTTTCCATGGCGGCCGTCACCTGTGGGAGTCTGACCCGGCGTCATCAGGCCGTGCTGCCTCCCAGTTGCACTGTTGGCGACGCTCAGCCTCTGGAAAGGCTCCCAGGGATCCCCAGTTCCCGGCTGGCACACCCTTCTGAAATGCCTTTGCGTGAGGGTGGACCTAGGGACTCATTTTAATGGACAGAATAGGGCAAAGGTGAAGGGCTGTCTCCTTCCGAAGTGACGAGGCTATAGAAGCCTCTCGTTCTCTCTCGCTCTAAGCAATGTGACATGTTGAAAGCTGCCCTGCGGAGAGGCCTGGACCCGAGGGTGGCTTCTGGCCAAGGCGCAGCCCCTCTGTCAAAGCGCCGGCAAGGAGCCGAATCTCGCCGACAGCCGGGAGTAAGCGGGAGGCGCCCCCTGCCCAGCTCCACGGACACCTCCCTGCAGCCTGACACGGCCCAGCCCACTCCCGGCCCGCAGAATCGAACCCAGTTGTTTCACGCCACACTAAGTTTTAGGGTAACTAGCGACAAACCGAAATAGATGATGAACACACGTTTTGGTACCAGGAGGAAGTGTGTCATGAAAAATACCTACAGGTGTGAGATGGCTTTGGAGCCAGGCAGTGGGGAGAGGCTGCGGGTGTCCCGAGGTGCTTTTAGACAAATCTGGACTTGAGGGGTGCCGCCAGCGAGGTGCAGGGAGGCGGGGCCTGCCCCTGCAGCTGCAGGAAGGGACCCTTGTTTCGCGGTGGCAGAAAGCCTAGCGACACCGCTGTCCACAAAGCAGGGCGTGTGCCTAATGAACGCGGTGATGTAGCTAGGGACAGTCCAAGCTGCGAAATGCTAAAGGTACTGTCAGGTTTCTTCTTGTTGCTTGTGTGCAAAGAGATAGGAAATGAGGGAAGACTGTGAATGAAAAAGGAGCCAGGACTTGCTGTTTTTGAAAATCCTCAGTCTCCCAAGACAGTAAAAAAAAAAAGCTAAAATTTTAGAAGGGGGGTTTTGAGCACTGTCAGGAACAGCGGATGGAGATAAGGCTGAGGGGATGTCACTGCGCTTGGTGAAGACCTTAGGAGGATCCAGGAATCATGGTATTATCAGTCACACAAAGGCCCTTTACAGAGATTAGGGGGCCTCACAAATCCTCCTGACCACACAATAGGGTTTCTGGGGAGCCGAAGAGCACTGGCCCCTGGCCATCTTAGCAGAAGGCCAAGGTAGACCAGAGTTTAGTTCAGAGAAGTCTGGGGGTGTGGCTTTTGTGTAAGAGAGTGACTCTCAATACGCTGTCTAGAGGACCCACAAAGCTTTGAGAAACCCTGTTATCAGAAGAAACACTGCAGCCTTAGCCTGACAGGGACAGGGACAGTGCAGGATAAAAAGAGGTCATCGGACACCCAAAGCTGTCGGTAGGATGCAGACTGAGGAAAGGTCAGCTTCAAACATGCCTTTCCGTTCAAGAGAAAAGAAGGATGGCTCAGAGAGAGGAGCCAGCTCAGAAGGTGGGGCTAAGACTCCGAGAACTACTTCCAGGTTTTGAAACGGATCAAAACACTTCCAGGATTTTCCTGGATGGCTTCAGAGTTGCTATGGGTCAGAGACTCTTTAGGCCTCTCATTCCCCCCTTTGGAGTAGCAATGGGACACCACTGCCTCTGTACATACAATGTGTACCCCAGCTCTGTACATACAGCTATGTGGGGCATACGCCTCTCTCCAGCTTCACGGACCTACCGACCCGGAGGAACAGTGTCCTAGAGCCTGTACTTAAGAAACCATACCAAGACCTCATCCACATCCGAACCCGATTTGGATAATGAGACTCTGGACTTTGAGCTGCCACTGTCATCGGATGAGACTTTGGGGGACCCTGGGAACAGATGGCTGTATTTTGAATGGTGAAGGGACATGAATTGTTGGGGGCCTGAGGACAAGTTGTGGTAGACATCTTCAGAAATGACAGGATGATCTGTGTCTCGGGCCCTTGTACGCCCTGCCCTGCCCTCCCCTTGTGCGTGGGCAGGATTTAGTGACTTGCTCCTACCAAACAGAATACAGCCAAAGGGACGGCTGTCACTCTGAGGTCAGGTCGGACAAGGCTGTGACTCCTGTCTCATTGCCCCTCTCTGGCTCGCTCTGCAGAACTGAACAGCCGTGTTGAAAGTGGCCCTATGCAAAGGAACTGGGCAGTGGCCCTGAGGAGCTCAGCCCTTCGAGCCATGTGAATGAGCAAACCCTCTCCCCGGCTGAGCTCTGAGACGGGTGCAGCCCTGGAGACACCTTGATCCCAGCCTGGGAGAAACCCTAAGCCACAGAACCCAGCTAAGCTACACCCAGACCCCAACACAAGGGAAATGTAACATGAACGTTTCAAGCCATTCATTTTGGGGGTAATTGATTACATAGCAATAGATACTTAACACACCCACCCTAAGGTCCTGCTACACCGAAACCATACTCTAACCTCTCCTCAGTGTCTCTGCACATGCTACCCCAGGCTGGGCTCAAACTTCCACTGCCTGCAGGACTCAGGTGAGGTGTCCCTTCCTCCAGGACGTCTCTCTCCACCCTCCCACACCCTCTCTGTGCTCCCTCAAGCATTGCCATCCACTGAATATCACATTCTAATCATTGCTGATCACCCCAACTTGTGGAGGAGGGCAGGGACCTTGCCTTATTTGTCCCAGCAGCCTTAAAATCAAATATAATGCTTGACACAAACTAAAATAATAATACAGTAGCCACCCACCCCCTCACCCCTTATCCACAGGGGGTACATTCTAAGAACCCCAGTGGGCGCCTGAAACCTCAGAGAGTACTGAATTCTATATATACTGTGTTTTTTCTATATATACATACCTGTAATAACATTAATTTATAAATTAAGCACAGTAAAAGATGAACCACAACTCATAATAAACAAAACAATTGTAGCAATGAACTGCAGTAAATGTTACGTGAATGTGGTCTCTCCCTCTCTCTCAAAATATCTTGTTGCATGGAACTCACCCCCTCGTGATAATGTAAGACAGTAAAATGCCCACGGAATGAGAGGAAGTGAGTCAAACGGCACGGGCACTGTGCCACAGCATCAGGCTCCTACTGACCTGCTCACAAGATCTGACAAGCCCTCTCCGGCTTCTCTTTGGCATGTCCGAATCGCAGTGTGACTACCCTTGCACTTCGGGGCCATCAGCCAGTAAAACAGAAGGGTTGCTTGAACCCAGGCACCGCGGCACTGAGACAGCCGGTCTGATAACCAAGGGGCCGTGAAGTGACTACCAGGCAGGGAGTGTGTACCGTGTGCGGACGCCGGACAACGGGATTCACATCCCGGGCGGGACGGAACGGGACAGCGTGAGATTTCATCATGCTACTCAGAATGGTGCGCAGTTTCTAACTTAAGAGTTGTTTATTTCTGGAATTTTCCGTGTCATATTTTTAGGCCCTAGTGGGTGACTGAAACCCCAGAAAGCAAAACTGTGGCTAAAGAGAGGTTGCTGCAGCGAACTTTTATTGAATGCCTGTCCCTTGCCTGGTATGGTTTCAGGCGATTT